GTCACACCATGTCCGGTGAAACACTCACAGTCTTCTACTCCCACCAGTTCCTTGCCCACGGTGAGTGCGGCTGCCCTCGACGGCAAGTCCTACGATGCTCCACCTCAGCAACAACCTCGGATCATCCAATCTCTTCACGGCATGTCGCCTCCGCCTGTCAAGCAGGCCGCACCGAAGTTGCTCACAATGAACAGCGCGCCAGAGGATCATCAAGCACTACACCTGGACCAGTGACCAACCTCGCGACTTCCTCAAGCAGGCCCCTACAACCACCACAGCACCGGCGCTGATCAAGTGGGCCAATCACCCATCCCGCCTCAATGGCAACAAATCTCTGGATGCCATGGCAGTTCAACTTCAACAAGCACGCCAACGTCTGGCGAAAGGAGATGCTCCTACTTTTGCTTCCATGGCTTCTTTGTGGGGACTTGAACCTGTCTACAGCACCAAGCTCACGGACAAGGCGCTATGCCTGCTCATTGTGACTGCTCGACTTCTTGCCGGCTGAAGTGTCTCTTCCCAGCCAGTATGAGCCCGGAGTGGCAGGCGTCGTGATTTGCGCTTGAAAACTTGTATGTCATTGCCTTGAGTGCTTGTCATGACTTGTGAGTTGTCTTGCATTGCATTTGTCTTGTTCATTTGCACAATTGTCATCATGTTCATCTGCGTGGCTCGAACATTGCTTTGAGTGTATGCATATCGCTGCCACTTACAGCCGTGCTTTTCCAGTTGTGCATCATGTGGACTGAGCTTCAACGCAGCGGAGTCTTCGATGAAGTTGTACAATGGCGAACTTTGTCTACCTTTCTGGAAACATTGACGTTTGTCTCAGCATGCTGGCGGTTTTTCTTCCCTGAGCTGAATCAATTCACCAATTACCCTCATTTAGACGTGGTCCTGGAAGTGCTCACCCTTGTTCGCATCGCGCTCCAGATTCCGATGACGGCGGTGTCCCACACCCAACATGCGGTGGCCAACAGGTACGAGATCCACAGATGCAGAATGACAGCGTATCTCCTTGTTTGCTTCTTACAGCGACCTATCTCGCAAGACAATGGATGTATCCCTCCGTTTTTCGACGTACTTCACTGTGCGATTCCTATTGAGATCCGACTCCCCACCTTTTCAGTGTGGGTCCAGGAAAGTAAATGGCAATATACGCTTCGACCGCACTTAAATGCGCCCTGGGTGCACAGACTTCTTCGGAAAATTGGCTTCCGCGAGCATTTGGTTGACTTCAGACGGCACTCGCTCTCATCGCCTACGTCACTGTCCCTTCACAAGCGGTTTCGGCGGCGACTGCATCCCAATTTACATCGTCAACTACGACCTGCTGTGCTGGACGATATTCAGGCACAGTATTCTGCTTTGTATCAGTTAGGGTCTAACACTGGTGCGTCGTTCCAAACCATGAGAGGCCTTTTATCGGCTTTTCCGCCGACTCAGCTTTATTATTTCCTGCGACTCGCTACATTTGTCAACGAGCCGTTCCGCTCCAAGGCGCAGAAGCTTCTCGCTCAGGTTTTGCATAAGCGAAAACTCCAGGTACCTGCCACTTTGACACAATTACTACTTCCGCCTCTACATGCTCGAGACTGGAAAGCCAAACTCGGAACCTGGTTGCAACGGTGGGTGGCATCTAACCGCAATCTTTTCCCTTCACTATTCCTTCCTAAGATCCGAGTTGTTGAAACTCGCAGTGCGACCCTGGGTGATCGCATTTACAACTACCGCAAATGGCAGCAACGATGGACTCCGGACACTTCTTTTCCGTGTTGCTGCATCGATGTGGATGACTGCACTACATTTCGCGCGCATTCTCATGCTGTTGTTTTGAATGAGTTCCAATGCATCAACGCTGACATTGACGCTGATATTATGTCCGCCTCCATGAAGGATCAATACTTTGGTGATGTTGATAAACTTCAGCAGCGGTTTACTTTGCAACTTCGCAAATTGGCTCGCCGATGGAAGGTCCAAGGGTCCAGTTTTGATGCTGACTCCCGGCCCATTTTGTTTGAGTTGTTTGATGAACATCGCTGCAATGTCCAAGACCAGGCACACTGGACCTCCGAGTCATTACAACCTTTCTGCCCTTACTACGTGGGTTGTCATCCCTGCGGATCATTTCCCTTCGCGTGCTCACGTGATTTGCCCAGCCTGCCGCCTCCTTTCGCGCCAAAGTCGTGACTATGACACCCCCTCGACTACAACAACGATATGCCTGGGGGCTACGACTTCAAGCTCCCCTTCCCACCGCACGCATTCTGCCCAAGCTTACTAAGGACTGGCTCAAAGCGAGACCAATCATTTCCTTCTTCCGCACGTGGTCAGCACCTCTCCTCACGGTCTTTGACTCCCTCATCTTCGAGCTCACCAAAATCACCTTTCCGGACGTCCGGGACAACTTTCAGTTCAGGACCTGGTCCAGCAGCTCTGGGAGGCATTGTCGTCCGCAGACCCCACTGATTACATACAGTTGGTGTCAAGATTTGTCCGGTTTCTTCACTTCTATTCCCACAGAGCGGTTTCACCAAGCTCTTCAAGTTCTCCTTCATCGATATGATCAAGTGGTGGGACTGCGCAACGTATCACACTGGTCTGTCTATGAGGTAAAGTCTGATCATCGACGACGCATGTTCAAAGGAACATGGCGCCGTCAAACAAAAGTCCCACGGATTTTCGCGAAGAGGATTTTTCAGCTTCTCCTCGACTTTGTCATCAACAATAGCCACTTTGAAATCAACGGCTACTTGTTTAGACAAGAACGAGGCGTCGCAATACCGTGGAAGATTATTTCTGGCACCAGACCATGACTTCGCTTCGGTTTCAAATGCCCGACTTTGGTGTGCTCTGGCATGAACGCTATGTGGACAATCGCTTCATGCTATTACGCGCCGCGGCGCCGCCGTCAGCAGTCCTTAGCAACTTTCTTTCACTGGAATTTTATCGCCCTCCAGTTCTACTGGAGACACAGAATGACACCAAAGTATTTGGATACATGTGCGACTCAGCATCCAGGACGATCGCACCACAGCTACCAGATCATCCGTCTCAGATCAAAGGTATTCGGAGCGCCAACGACCAGCTTTTCACCTACTCCTCGTGGTCATCCAGATCGTGGCTCATTGCGCGTGGAGCGCAACCCGTAGTCCAGCAGCAGGTTGGCCTTGACGCTCTAGAACGTCTCTATGAAGCCAAAGGCTTCAACTCTGACCTCCTACGAAATGTCCGGCGGCGAATTGCACCAAAATGAGCATGTTGACCCGTTGCGTGCTTGTTGTCGTTTTACCAATTCGTTTTGGACTTGTGTGACCGTGCGCATGTTTGAGGTTGACTCGGACTCGTGGTTGGTGTTTGTTTCTTTTCTTCCTTTGCTCGTAGCATGGCTTCGGTACCTCCCATCCAGCTTGACTTTGCAGACTCAACCAGACGGTCACCTCATGCGGTTTACACGGTGAGCAGTCTGCTGCATCCGGATTGAACGGCGCAGACTACCAGTCTCCAGTTTCCCAACTTCATCAATGGCAATGAGGTGCAGCTGTTTTTTCAGACACATGGCATGGTACATCTCCGGAATGTGCAGAGCCACAGCTCATCCCATACGACATACGCAATGCGGGACCGATCTGCAGATCATGAGGCAGCCTTGCGATCCCGCTCTCCGGCTCCTCGCCGCTCTCGGGTCAAGCTCACCCCGGGACCTCATGGCAAATCGGATGAAGATGATGACTGGGGCGAGTGGACACACCAAGGCCATCGCCGTCGTGATCGCATGAGTCATGCAGACCGGCAGCGTCCTCAGTCGCCATCAGCACCGCCAGGACGCCATACTGCAGCTTCGAACAGCAGGATCGACAACCAGACACCCACGGTCGGACTCATTCGGCTTCGTGTTTGCACTCCGTCACCATCTCTGGGCAGCCATATTTTCTTGCTTTGCTCAGGCCTTGAAGTTGAGGAAATCGCCATCCGGATCAACAATGTACTGTACCACACCCTTCCCTGTATTGCTGAGTTGGTCTATCCGGACCCAGCCAAATGGAAGCAATCTTGGGAGTCAGTGTACAGGAGTCTCATGCCGCACCGAGAGAACATCATCCGAGATGAGCGCCGCGCGCGATCCATCTCTGAACTTGCAGCTGATCGACTTCCCCATGGCAACCCGGGAACATGGACCGAGGCGGTTCTTTGTGACATCTCCCGGGAGTTCGGCATCGCTCCTACTGCTTTGCCTGAGCAACTCAGCGTTCAGTTGGGAGTGCTTGAGAAGTGCTGGCCTTACATCCGGAAGACCGCAAAGGCCTACCACTGTTTCGAGCCGAACAAGAAGGACTCTCAGGGCAATCGCTACGGGATCATCTTCTCCTTTGAGCCACGCCGCAGGTTGCCGGACAACTTCCGCACCCGTCGATCTCGTCGTTCTATTGGGCGCACAACACGGACATCAAATCCGCCATCAGCATATTGAAAGACGACGAACTCATCCGACCTTCGCTGGAAGACCCGCGTGGGTGTGGGCGTGGGTGTGGGTGTGGGTGTGGGCGTGGGCGTGGGCGTGGGGCGTGGGGCGGGGGCGGGCGGGCGGGCGGGGGTGGTGTGGGTGGGTGGGTGTGGGTGGTGGTGTGGGTGGGTGTGGGTGGTGGTGGTGTGGGTAGTGGGTGGGTGGGTGTGGTGTGGGTGTGGTGTGGGTGGTGGGTGGTGGGTGGGTGGTGTGTGGTGTGGTGGTGGGGTGGGGGTGTGGTGGTGGGTGGTGGGTGGGGGGGGGGGTGGTGGGGGGGTGGGTGTGGGTCAGGTGGGGTGGGGTGGGGTGGGTGGGTGGGGTGGCTGTGGGTGGGTGGGTGGGGGGGTGGGGGGGTGGGTGGGTGGGTTGGTGGGTGGGTGGGGTGGAGTGGGTGGGTGGGTGGGTGGGTGGGCCAGCCAGAAGCCAGAAACCCGCCCAAGACGCCGGCGCCGCAGGTTCCGACGTGCACCCTCTTGAGTCAGGATGCCCTGGATGAATGGGGTTCAGGCAGGAAGTGAATTGTCCAGGCCTATCCAGCGCCCTTGTTGTTCATCAGCTGGTATCTCACTCAACCCACCGCGGCCAACACTCCCTCAGGAGAAAGGGAAACTAGAGAGAAGTTTGCAGCAATCCAAGCCACCTGCGTTAGGAGGGTCTGCCTTTTTGGAGTTGGGGCCCTTCTTTGGCGGGTTTTAAAGGGAAATCGATATGTAAACTCACCACTTTTTTAATGGGCATTCTGGTCTTGAGAACTTCTACACCCCTCAAACTAGTTAGCCTTGGCCTTGAGAACCTGATAAGGTTGAACAACAATACCCTAACCCTTCTTCCCCCCTCCTCTGAACCTTTTGGCCCCCCCCCCACCCCGCCAAAAAAGGGAGGAACAAAAAGGGAGGGCCTCCTCTAGGTCACCGTTCACCATCCACCAAAACGCGGAGTCGCCCTAAACCAGGGGACTCTCTGGAGGCGTGGCGGCCGCCCTGGCGGGCGTGGCCGCGGGCTCGGTGAACTTGGTGGCGGTGCCCGCAGGCGCGGCTGAGTGGATCATGGGTTCATCCAAAGGTCCGGTAGAATGGGAGGACCATCGGCTGTGGGGCAAAACCACTAAGAAGATGTCGATGTTTCAACCACATAGTTGCCCATGAGGGCTGATCCAAAGGTACGGGGGAAGCCTTAAAAAAGATGTGATGTGTCCACCACATGATGGAAAGTGACCCAGTGACCACAAACCAACAACTGTGTTGGGAATTCTTATTTGAGGATTCCGCTGTCAGTGGGACATTGAGATCTGCTCCTTGACTTGCGAGACCTGACAACTACACAGTTGGCAATGGTGGAATTTTAGGCATCCGCTGCAAAGCAGTAGTATCTGCCATGAATTCTCTCTCGCTTGACATTGTTAGCATGGTGCGAGTCAGCTGCATATGCTTTGCTTTTAAAGCTAGTTGCTTCTTGCTCACTGCAGCCACCGATTCTGCACAATGATCTCCAGCAGCCAGCCCGAAACTGTCCTGACGCTCCTTTGCAAGGCCGAACAGCTTCACCCTTCGGAGACTGCGCACGCGTGATCGCTGCTGCACTCTGAAAAGCCTTGCCGCCATTAGCCGCTGCTACATGCCGTTCCTGGTGCAGTTTCGCAGAAACAGGCTTGGCAACTTCCAAAAGAGCCGCGTTTAGGGTTTGACCGCCCATCCTGCATAGCTTGAACACAAAGCGTGAGCCCAACCTGTTCATCGGACTCGGAGGCCCGCTGCTACGCTGAAGACACGTGTAAGAGCGCATGGGTGTTTCTGACTGCACCCGCGCTCGATTTTAGTTTTCGCGCAAATCGAGCGTGCCCCAGATGACCTGTGCTGGAAGAAGCAACCTGCCAGCATGACAAATTGGTCTGTGGCGTCAATGAGGCCAGGTGTGGATAGTCACAGAGAACAAGGGTCGCAATTGCGGCAGCCTACCCAGCAATACGTAAGTGAGCACGCGCAGGCAACTTCAGCGGCTTGCCTTGGGCCACAGCCACGGCTGGCCAACAGCACGGCGTTCCAAACACCCAATACCATGGTTTGGGCTGTCCTCAAGAAAAACCAAAAGGATTCATCTTTCTTTCGGTGTTGATTTTTATTTATTATCTATATATATATATATATATTTTGGGGGGGGGTCCGCTAAAACAGCGGACAAAGGGAGAACCAGCCATTTTGTTGGGCCCCTCATATTGACGCACACCCACATGGGTTTGTCTCGAAAAGGGAATCGGTCCCCCCGAAATGGGTTTGCAAGCCATCTGTTGGTGTCTACAGAGAGGGCGCTGTATCATTTAAGGATTTGTCCCGCCGGATTGGGGTTTGTCCCGCTCGCTGACAAGCAAGCAAGCAGGCAAGCGCGCAAGCAGGCAAGCGCGCAAGCAAGCAAGCACGCAGCCCCCTAAAACCCACCCTAGATCCACAAATATGGAACTGTCCTTCTTGAGGGTATCCTGTTTGGGGTTGCTGAACAAGAAACCCACCAATTCTAAAGGCCCCATGGCTGAACCGCGAGGCTTGCAGGCTCCGGGGCTGCGTCGGGCTCCCGAGCGGGCGGCTTTGACAAAGGACCTTTTGGACTTGGCCAGTCAAGCATATGGCATCATATGGCTCTTTGTTTGAAGCCTGGTGCCGTTTTGCGCCTTTGAGCGCAATGCCAAAACGGCCCTCCCCAATTTTGACAGCCGTCCACCGATAAGCAGGATAAGTCAGAGAAGTGTGAACTATTTTGTACTGACGTGAAGGACATTAACTAAAGCGTACTGATCTCGGAATTTCTGTTCAGAACGTGGGAACACGATGAATCTTGACAAGTCTGTCAGGAGTTGGAAGTCCTTTGTTGGCTTCAATGAAGCCTAAGGGTCAGGACCACACAAGCCACAAACCCCCAAAGTGTTGCCCATCACTACCGACTGCCTGTTTGAACATTTCTCAAGAATCGGGTGGCACCGTTGTGTGGACTGTCTCTGCCGGGTGTGACCGGGTGCCGTATGTGGGTCTTCCCCGCTGCTGTTTCAAGGTGCCGAGCGGGATGCCGTGCTCCTGCTGCAGGCGGGGGGGGGGGGGGTGGCCAAGGTGGGGTTGGGACCCCCAAGCTGAGCGAAATTGGCTTACGAAGTGGGAGTGTCTTGTTTTGGTAGTACCACTCTTGGTGTGTTTGAAGGGACACCAAAGGGAAAACCACATTACTTTTTTTAGGGGGTCCCCAAGAAGACACACCCATTTCGCAAGTTTGGACGTTGGAGTTCCTATTTGGACGATTTGTGTTGGGCGGGCCTTGCGCGGGTGACAGTAGTTGGCACACTTCCTCATTTTGGTTCCATCCCCTGTACTTGCCCACGAAAAAGGAGTTGTGCTATCCACGTTTGCCCTGCTTTATACAGTGCGTGTCTGCATCACTACCCCTGGCACGTACCTTGCTGCCAGGGTTACCTCCCTTGGTCTACCTTCGGATGGGGAGATTAATGGGAACTCAACGAATCAGGCAGCGTCCAATCCCCTACAGATGTGCATCTAACCTCCGTTTCGGCGACCCCTTTTTGAGGTTCTGGTTGAGTGGCAATAACGCGGGGGGGGGGGGGGGGGATGATGTTGAGATTGGGGGAGACCCGTTCCTGTTTTAACCCGCCTGATGTTTGACCCCTTTGCCGTTTGGTCGAAAGATTTGTCCTTCAGATGGCTCCATTGCGGACGGATCGGCCGATCCGATCGGCGCAGGTTGCTGCACAGGAGGTGGCTCCCGAGGCCGCACAGCCTGCGCAGCCGGCGCAGGGAGGGGCTGCAACGGAGGCGGGGGGCCCCCAAACCCTTAGGGGTATTGTCTCAATATTGGGGACCCCCAAACTGGTGTGGTTCCATGTTGCGCTCCCTTCAAAAGCATCCAAGAAGGGTCCGCCATTTCATGCGGTCACCTTGTGGGCGTGTCCAGAAATTGGGCACCCCAAAATGGTAAATGTCCTGTAGGATTGCCCTGCAATTCCATCCGGAAAGTGTGTCCTTATTTTGTAGCCACCAAATACCGGGTCTCACTTCGCGAGTTGCTGGACTTTAAACTTTTTGGGTGTTAGATAAAAGTTCAGACTTGGGAAGTGAGGGGTAGATACCCTGTTTCCTCTTGGAAGGTGGTTTGGGGGTTGTGGAGTTTCTCTTAGAGTGTTCCGCGTGGTATGTTCCAGGCAGGTTGCAAGGGTTGAGCAATTTCCAGCATCGGCTGGTTGGGCAACTTGAACATGGAAGTTGTGCCTGTTATGGTCTGATGTTGGGTTGGCTTGCAATGGGTGGCTTCTTGGAAAATCCGGCTGCAATGGGCCAAGATTTGAACCACAAAGGGGGATCTTTGAAGAAACTTGACAGGCCAGTCATTGAAATGAGGGTACCCACAAGACAAGGAAATCACCAATTCTAGGGCTTCATTTGGAAAGCTTCAGCAACATCAGCTGCATACTCGTCCTCCTCCTCCCTCCTCCTCCTCCTCCTCCTCCTCCTCCTCCTCCTCCTCCTCCTCCTCCTCCTCCTCCTCCTCCTCCTCCTCCTCCTCCTCCTCTTCCCTCCTCATCATCGTCGTCAGCTGATCAACCATCACTCCAACTGACATAATTACAAGATTGGACAGCCATTCAGGTTGCGGATGCCGCAGTGCTTTCTGTTGCTTGGCCGCCATGTGGTGGGATCTTCCGCTGGCGGCTAAACAACAAACAGGTGAACGGTTTTGCACTGGGGGTAGGCACACAGGTATATAGCATGTCGCACACATTTGAGCAGCTTTCCACCGAGGAATCCCGGCGGCTCTCGGTGAAGGAACGCATGGCAAGGCGGGCATTTGGCAGTTCTTGCCCGGGCCAGTTGCGATTCCTCCAATTTTGTGCCGTCTCTCCCACAGGGATGTGTTTTAATGGAACATCTTGCGAAGACATGAAGTCAACAGTTCCATGAACAGATTCCATGCTTGCAAAGCTTTGGATCAAACCTGGGAACGATTGAATTGGAGAGGGTGCATGAATCTTTGGTGGCCTGTAGCCTCTTTTCAACAATGGACTTGCACAGGCGGGTTTTGGAAGACTACAACCATCACGGGCCCCTTGCCCGGATTTGGAAAAGGGTCTTCAGCCAACTAAATTTCAAGCAAGGTGCTGACCTCGTGCTGGCTTTTCAACACGCAGTCTTCCAAAGCCTAACATGGTCAGCTTCCATGATTGTGGTGGCAGGGTAAACCCAATGTTGATCATCCGCGGCGGTCGTGGCCCGCACCCCCACTTGAAGGGGAACGTCCTGGCAGCTGAGAGTTGATTCGGGGTTGACACAAAGAGGAATTGCCCTCCCTCTCGCTGCGCTCCCGTTCCTTCCTGTCTCCCTGCAGGGAGGGTGCCCGCAGTCTGCATATCCTTTCCACTTGACCTGGCCTGCGATTTTGCAGGCCTCCTGCCCACTTCCATGAGAGTGCTCATCAACTGCCCCCAAAAGAGCCGTTTCGAGGCCCCCACTTTTTGGCTACCCCCAAGTTAAACTTAAACCCAGGGAGTCCATTTTGAGAAACGAACCAACGTGTTTGAGTCTATCCTGGGGTGATCAAAAAGTGGAACCTGTTTTAGGCTTGTTTCAAAATCACCCACAAAAGGTGTTGGTTCCCTTTAACACCTCTCCAAAAAGAGTACCCTAAAAGAAAGACACGCCATATGTGTCTCAACATAGGCGACCCTGAAAACATTTTCGTGGGTTCTCTGTTGTGCCTTTTTGAAAGGGGTCACCAAAAGGCGGGGTACCCCGAAGAGAAAGACAACCCCCCCATGCAACTTGAGACTTGGCAGGCTCGCAGCAGCCGGCTTGCCCCCGGGGGCTGTCGGCCACATGTGGCGGGCTTGATTTGGGTTGGGTGTTGGTTTGGCCTCAGCTTTGGGTTTTTTGTCTTTGGCCTTAGCTTTGGGCTTTTGGCTTTGGTTTTGCTTTAGTCCTTGCTTTAGCTTTTGGCTTTGGCTTGGATTTGGTTGTGGCGTTTCGCTTTTGGCTTTGGATTTGCTTGCTGGTTTTGGTCGACTACCTCCACTCTTTGTCTCTTTCTCGCTCTGAGGCCCTTGACTACGCCGCCCGCGACCCCGGAGGCGAATCGCGAGTCGCTTGCGGGTCCGGTTCCGAGCAAGGTGTGAGACCATTTTTTACATGAGAGACCCCTGTTCTTTTCGATGTGTTTGAGTGACCCATATCTGATCATCCAACAATGGATCACAAAGTTTGTTTTTTTGCAAGAACACATAGTCATAGGATAAATTTCAAGGCCAAGGTGAATGGTAAAACATGCACGCCCCCTCACCCCGGTAGAACTCACGCCTGCAGCTGCGTAGGCTTCAATAGCTGGGTGCGATAGCTTTCTGACAAGCTGTTGCAATTCCTTGGTAGGGGCCCCGCTCGCAAAACATGACAAATGAACGTGCCCGACTGCGCTGGGCAAAACCAGCACTTGCGACAAGTAATGCTCGGCGAAAACAAAAATTGTCTCGAAGCCGTCCAATGAAACAGGTTATGCTCAGAGTTGTTTCTCTAAGCGGTACTGAGTACCATACAGCTGAGAATTCAGGCTGCCATTTGTCCTGTGCACTTACATGCGATCGAGTTGCATTGCGCTGTTCTTTTTAGGAAGGCCATGCGAAGCTTTGCTACGCGAGCGAAAAGCTGCCTCACACGGTTGGGTCTGTGCAGGTGCAGGAAAAGTGCAGATGACAGGATGCTACATAGCGAAAGCAAGTGTTGAGCCGAGCCTGGCCACTGGCTAAGCAAGGGTGTCACAAGTGTAACTACTCAAGCAGTACAAGCACGGTGCACAGTGTTTGTCCTCTGCAGATGAGTTTTGGCCTGCAAGGCCTTGGGCCAAAAGCAGGAGTACATTGTGGACGGATTGGCTGGAGCCAGCAGCCGCCAAAACAAAAAGACCTCCACCGCTAGCGCGCAGCAAAATGTCTGTGAAAGGTGTGTCTGTGTGTGTGTGTGTGGGTGGTGTGTGGGTGGTGTGTGTGGTGTGTGTGTGTGTGTGGTGTGTGTGTGTGTGTGTGTGTGTGTGTGTGTGTGTGTGTGTGTGTGTGTGTGTGTGTGTGTGTGTGTGTGTGTGTGTGTGTGTGTGTGTGTGTGTGTGTGTGTGTGTGTGTGTGTGTGTGTGTGTGTGTGTGTGTGTGTGTGTGTGTGTGTGTGTGTGTGTGTGTGTGTGTGTGTGTGTGTGTGTGTGTGTGTGTGTGTGTGTGTGTGTGTGTGTGTGTGTGTGTGTGTGTGTGTGTGTGTGTGTGTGTGTGTGTGTGTGTGTGTGTGTGTGTGTGTGTGTGTGTGTGTGTGTGTGTGTGTGTGTGTGTGTGTGTGTGTGTGTGTGTGTGTGTGTGTGTGTGTGTGTGTGTGTGTGTGTGTGTGTGTGTGTGTGTGTGTGTGTGTGTGTGTGTGTGTGTGTGTGTGTGTGTGTGTGTGTGTGTGTGTGTGTGTGTGTGTGTGTGTGTGTGTGTGTGTGTGTGTGTGTGTGTGTGTGTGTGTGTGTGTGTGTGTGTGTGTGTGTGTGTGTGTGTGTGTGTGTGTGTGTGTGTGTGTGTGTGTGTGTGTGTGTGTGTGTGTGTGTGTGTGTGTGTGTGTGTGTGTGTGTGTGTGTGTGTGTGTGTGTGTGGTGTGTGTGTGTGTGTGTGTGTGTGTGTGTGTGTGTGTGTGTGTGTGTGTGTGTGTGTGTGTGTGTGTGTGTGTGTGTGTGTGTGTGTGTGTGTGTGTGTGTGTGTGTGTGTGTGTGTGTGTGTGTGTGTTTTTAAATCACTTTGTTTTACAGGGCTCGAGGGCCTGTGTCACCAAAACCAAGGGTCAAAGCAAGGACAACAAACATATCGTCTACCAAGGGAGGCCATATCGAATTGGTCGAAGCAATAATTTATTTGACTCCCTCAAGCGATGCCTCATTCTCGGCGAAGCTGAGCTGTATCTTTGTCCCTGATTCCTCCCCACATTTGGCCGTGTAGCAAACGGGGTCTGTGGGTGGTCGGTTTGAAACCCGCCAGAAGCCAACCGTCAGAGAGGGTTCCAAGGGATCCCGGCAAAAAATAGACGGTCAAGTCCGCTCGGAGGTTTGGGTTGGGACCATCCTTCATACACCTTCAGAACAAAATAACTGGAGGGTTGCCTTAAAAGGCGTCCAAATTGAGCATGAGTTCCGCCATCCATGCCAACCCCAGGTAAGCATGTGTTTTGGACTTCCGCACGCACATGCGGGAGGCCGTGCGGCGAGATGCCGGAGCGGATCCGGCCCCGGCTCTTCCAACAGCAGTGCCTGCTGCCCATTTTGAGCCGCCCAGGCTGGGTTTGCGCAAGCTCGCAGTGCGTTCTTTGCTTGCCCATCATTTTGATTGTCTCTAGAGCTATCACAATCAGAAACTGGGAATGGCCCCGTCAGGCCTTCCAATGAGGGGGGGAGGGGACTTTGAGAATGGTAAAATGCACGATTGTATTGTGACAAGTCCACACAGCCCCAATCCACTGCTTGGCATGTGAAGAGATATTGCACGGAGATCAGCGGCTCAGGATGGTACATGTTGCTAGAGTCTTGTGGGAACGGAGAGGTGATTTCTATACCATGAAACAGTTACTCCCCGGTTGGCTCATTGGGAAGGCCTTGCCGTGACAGAAGTGAGCAAGTTCGATGCGGTTGATTCCCTGATACTCCCCTTGAACTTGGAACCCAAAAGGGAAGGTCCCCCAAAAGGAGTTTCCTCAATGGTGGTTTCTTGGGCAACTGGGGAAAGTCTTTAGTTTGCCAGGCTGCCAGGCTTTTGGGGTGGTGTAGTTGTCGTTTAATGTCCGCATCCGATATCAGTGGCACATGTTTTGCCGGGCCACGTTGAGGATGGAAGCACTGCATTGACCCTTTAGCCTGATGAGTCTTTAATCACCTGGGTATAGCACGAGCTCACCTGCACCAACGAGCTCGCCCACGCAGGTTTTTGGAGTATTTCTGCAGAGTAGTTGCAGAGGAAAATCATGCGTGGCAGACTCGCCAGGCCCGCTGCCGCTCCCTTGACAGCGCCAGCACCGCTGCCGGCGCCAGTTCCTTCGCTGCCTTCCAGGGAAGCGGCAGGCGTGGACAAGCTCAACTCCGGGACCCTACCACTGCGGATCAAAATGGGTCTCAAAGGAACAGATTTGAGGAGTGTTGAAGCAACACAGGACAAGAAACAGCCTTTTCGGGGTCGAAAACGGGATGGACTGCATCGGTTTGGGCGGCTAGTCTCCATGCAGTTCACATACCGCATACCAAGTAATTGGGTTGGGTAGGTCTGTATTACTTTTCCTTGAAAACAAAGGCTCACAAGGGGAAATACCCGCACTCTTTCTCAAATAAATGCATACCCACAGGGATGGCAATACACTTCGCGTGGGCATTACATCATGATGACTTTGCGGTTACTTGCATCTACGGGAATCGATAGGACATGGGGGTTCCCTTCAGTAGGGCATTCCTTCCGTTTGGCTTTGCAATTGTTTACTTGTGAGAGGGGAATAGGTTAGTGTCTTGTTTCGTTGCCGCCATTGCATCTTGACAAGTTTTGGGTTTGAGGGACTTTCACGCCGCGAACTTCAACTGGAACTCGTATTTGGAATCTTGATCGGACGCTTGACAACTTGACAACGTTTGCTACAGGGTACCACTTGCAAGTTTCTGCGGGTTATCAGCCGTACAGCTCGAGGCGGCGGTGAATATCAGACCTTACAACTTTCTTGAGAAAGTATATGCACAAGACTCAACGATCCCAACGCAGAGGACGACCGGACAGGCCATCGCAGGTACAGTATAAGCAAAGGAAGCTTGAACGTGCGTACGGGGCGGGTTTTCAGGACGGGTTGGAATCGGTGCAGGAGGTGCAGACAGAACAGGCAGACGACGAGCTGGAAGAAGTAGAGATCGAGACAGAGGTACATCCTTGGCGTGCAGACGGATCAACAAGTGGCAATCACAGCTTCGCTTGGTTCAGGACGTCACAGGACGAGAGTCATAGACACCGGATTCTTGAATTGGCGGAACAGCTGGACACCCCTGACGTGGCAGCAGACTCGCCCGTGGAGGACATCAGCTCAGACGTGGAAACATATGAGGTTGTTCTAGTGCCAGCGCCATCAGTCAATTCGCGGCCTTTGGTGATATTGGATTACCACGTGATTCCGACACCTGTGGTGGAGGCAGTGAAGCGGCTGGAGGATACGGGAGTTGCCATCCGGTGCCTGTCGTACGTGGGCACAGCATATCGAACTCGGGAGGCGTGGGTGTCAGGACCATTGTCACACATACCTCTTGAACTCGTGTATCGCAAATCGTGGCGTTCAGCACGCCGACGAGACGGGCGCTCGGATAAGACAAAAGCACAGAGAGTCCTGGAGCTTGGAGCAACTGCATTGTGCGACGACGCACGGGACATCTTGGAGGAACTGCAAGAGCGGTGGCACCGGCTTTTGGACCCGAGGCAGGCCCCGTGGACGACACAGGTCAAGAGCGCGAACTCTGCGTCAACGAGCATCCAGCTGCTAGTGGAACGGATCCGAGCTGCGAAGACACTGCAAAGCGCCGGAGAGCGCTGCAATTTGTGGCTGTCGATCGCACACCGCTCGGTAGAGTGGAAAAGTCAGGACCGCCAGGGTACAATCAGAAGGGGTACATGCAAGAGGAGAGTCCCAAACGCTTAGGTAAAGAGAAAGGTGGTGACTCCCAATACCACAGCATAAGGGATCCAGAAACCTCCTCATCATCATTCCCTTCAACTGACAGCCCGGGTGAAGCAGCCATAATGACTTCTCCACCTCATCACACAGGGCGGTTCATAGATGCCGTACCAAGTGATCAATTGCAAATCGTAGGTGAGCCCGCCGAAAGCAGTGGATTGCACGAAGGAACAGGCAACACAGGCCATTCAGTGTCTCAGACAAACGTCATGAATAGAGATGAATCAGCAAATTTGCACCATATGGAAGTTGATGCATTTGATGCATCCGCTCAACATATGACCCAGGTCAATGCTGAGAATACCAGTGTGCATCAGCGGCAATATATTGCTATTCAGCAAACTGCGAATGTAGTCTATACGCATGACCTAGAGCAGATTGAGAGACTCACACAGGCCCATGTTGCCGCAGCGTTGAGTGAACAGAGACAGCAATTACAAGGAAGCCATGCAAATGGCATTCTCGGCTAACGATGCTATCACTCAGGCTGAAAGGGAGAAACAACAGACCCAAGTGCAAGCCGAAGTGGGTGTCGCCAGAATCCATCAAGAAGCTTCGGAAGCCATTCAAAAGCGAGATCAACAGATTGCTGAGTTGATGGGGCAACTGGAACAGGCTAAGGGACAGATTGAACAACTGAACACAATAGTGTATGGCTCACAAAGTGCATGCGCTGGTGTGAGTGTTCCACCAGGTCTCCAGCAGGTGCCAGAACCCCCGCGCATTCCCAGTGGCTTCCCTGCTCGTTTGTGGAACGACATGACTCCTGGGCCTGCCTCAGGAGGCCATAATGGCGCGGATGCAGCACCACAGCAGGTGCAAAGGGGGGACGGACACGCTGCCAGCAGGCGCGACAAAACGTCCGGGTCCAAGAAAGGGTTTGTCAAGAAGCAACCCACAATCCCCGAAGATGACCCTCAGACAAGCCCATCCGAAGACTCTTCCGTAGAAGTTGAAGATGAAGTGGCTTGGGGATCATCTAGTGGCTCTTCCGCAGCCGGGCATCAGCCCTGGCGCGACTATGATGAGTTCGAAAGTTCAGCGTACAAGCATAAGAACCTTAAGATGATTAAGGTCACAAGGTTGCCGAATGACGCCACATCTTGCAGTTTCGAAGGAGGAAGTGGCAGCAAGTTCCGCAAGAAACTTCACTCAGAAAAGATCTTTGCGCAGTTCAACAAGCACCTTGCAGCCGAACTCATTCAGCCGGATGTGTTGGCCACCAATGTCGAATTGTCGCATGAACTCAACTCATACGTTGAAAGTTGTGCATTGAAAGGTGAGGGACCCAGAGCAGCGCCAATGTTGAATTTGATTTACTGTCGTTTCTCCATAGGTGCATCGCAAGGGGTTGCTCTGAACCAGATGCATTTGCTCAACTTGAAGTTGGAGGGCACCAATGCAGCGAATGTGCAAGCCTTCATCAGAAGGGCGCATTACATCCGCAATGGGCTCACCCGAAGACAGACCAAACGGCAAGACATTGTTCCATTGGTTGTGGCATGAGGTGAAGCGGGTTCCCTGCTTGTCTAGGGTGACCAACAAAGTGAGAGATTCTTCCCCATCGTCCAAAAGACGCGGTTTTGAGTGGTTGTGGAATGCCATCCAGGACAAGTTGAAGGAGCGTAGGGAGGACCAAAATTATGACAACCTCACTAAAGGTCTGAAAGAGGGACCCAGCCCTAGCCTCGGCTGCCAGCATTGAGCTCTACCAACGCCTCCCAGGCGAAAGGTGGGAAATCGAAGCCGAAGGGATCGCAGGGTCAGGGGGGCACGGAAAGCACGAAGGTTGAAACCCCAGCATTGCCAGCAGAGACCAAGCCGCCCGGCAAGAAGTTCATTTGTGCCACGCATGCCGCAGGACTATGCAACTAAGTCTCAGCACAAGGGTGATGGCAAGGGGAATGAAAAGGGTAAGGGTAAGGGTAAAAGCAAGGGTAAAAGCCATCCTGGAGGGAAGAGTGCAGCAGTGGCGACAGCAACGGCCGTGGCATCACAGCCTGCCGGCGCTAGCGCAGAGCATGCCCGACAGGAAGGCTCGAGTGATCCCAGCTACCCGAACCCCAACAAAGGCGGAGTCATGGGGAAGATGTTGAAGATGTGGGAGAGTTTCGTAGAGCAGGCATCCATAGTGCGATTGCCGATACCGATCTTTCTCAGAGTGAGCATCCCGCTGATGCTTGCATGCATCGAGGGCATCATGACGACGAGTGTCGCACAAATGTCACACAGGTGTGGTAGGGGCCGCCGAGTTTGACAATATCTTGAACGTAGGTGCGTCCTTGCACGGTTGGGAACCATCAACAAACGGGGTTGAGTTTCCCTCAGAAGACAACTTGTGTATTTTGGCAAACATGGCAGATGATTTCCATAACATCTCACTGGAGCTAATCGGAGACACCGGTGCTGCACATGACATAGGATCCGAACGGGCCATTCTTGAGCAAGGCATCCCCGAGTTGCTAGAGATGTGGAAAAGTGTGTTGGACAGACCTGTGAAGTTTCTCACAGGTGGCGGTATCCAGCAATCAGGCGAGGCTATGAACTTGTGG